TTTTCAATCTTTTTCATTTCCTGGAACACATAAAATAATTGCTAAAATTCTGCAGCACACACACACACACACACACACAAATATTATTATATTTTTTGCTGATCTCACAAAAAAATTAGGCATAATTTTGATTCATTCACACCAAACCACTATTATTGTGTTGTAGCTATTGCCATTTTTTAAATTTGACAATATAAGGGAAAAGAGGTGAGTGCCCCTGACTAAATAGTCAGGTATTACATGTTTTTAAAATTCTGCAGCACTCTGGTTGAAAAGCGCTGGTAAGAGTAATAAACAGCTAAGCTCCAAAAACTTTCCATTCTAGATTTAAATGGGATCTGATTGATAATAAAAATAATGGAACTGTATTAGTGGGACCTGCTTTCTCTGCATGACCTCCTGTCTCCAACCACTGCTGAGCCTATCACAAAGCCACATAATTCTGAAGTCTTCCTGAGGGAACATCCATATAGATTATTCAACTGGTAATACTGTACTAGTCAAAAGTAGTACTTCAATAATAAAAAAAACCATCATCTCTTCTCATAAACCAAAGCTCTTAGGAATAATTCTGGACAACCGATTCTATTGGTGAACCTGAAAGAAGAAACATCCTCTACCAGAGCATATGAAAAGAGACCACAAATGGACAGTAATGAACAGGCAAGAAAGGCATGGAGATAAAAAGGCTATTCTGTCATCAACAATGTGCATCTACCCTCCTCCCTCACCCCCAGAAAAGAAAGAAAAGTCATGTTTAAAGGGATCTATGAAAGAATTTGTTAAAGGGGTTCTTCAAATAGCTATATAAATGTTATAGTCTATCATAAAGAGACATTGTTTTCCACTTACTGCTGGAGTCAACTGAAAGAGAAACTTGTGCTTAAAATTTGATAATAAAATAAAATAGCATGTTTAGTGTTTTAGTTAAAATGTATAAGCTGTTGCCAAGTTTTTAAAGTCCTTATAACCTTGCAGATAAAATTATTTCCTATATCATGAAGGTTTAATCTCACACTAATACAAACTTGGGGGGACGGAAAATGGTCAGAACACCAGTTTCTAGCTATGCATGATTATTTCAACAGGAATCAGCCCAGCGGGCCATGGCTCAGTGGCTGAGTGTTGGTTGACCTATGAACCAGGTGGTCATAGTTTAATTCCCAGCCAAGGCATATGCCCAGGTTGCAGGCCCGATCCCTGGTGTGGGATGTGCAGGAGGCAGTCAATCAATGATTCTCTCTCATCACTGATGTTTCTTTCTCTCCCTCTCACCTTCTTCTCTGAATTAAATAAAAATGTATTTTAAAAAATACGAATTAGTTAATTTGTAGAGCCCAACTAAGTATGGTTATATGAAATATTCCAACTTAAGCCTAAGCAACACTATAATATACACAAACACTCAAAATAATTTCTAGAAACAATAAGGGGTAATGGAGAGGGGACATATGTAATACATTTAACAATAAAGATTTATAAAAAAAAAAAAAACACAAAAAACTGCAAGAGAACCAAGCACTTTGGAGACTAAAGAAAACATAATTTTGAAAAATAGGTATAGAAAATAAAAGTTAACTTTTCATAGAAAAATAAAAAAGGATGGTATAGGACTCAGTATACATTTGCAAAGCAATCAGAACCCCAACCATTATATCTATGAATTTCTTAGTAAGTCTTATTAAGACCAACCAACCAAGGCTTTTACTGCTTTCTTTATTTCAAGATCTTATGGCTATGAGACATTTTATAGTAATTACACAATTTGCTTCCTTTAACATTTAAATAAGATATTAAATTATAGCCCTAGCCGACTTGGCTCAGTGGATAGGGCGTCGGCCTGCGGACTGAGGGGTCCCAGGTTCGGTTCCGGCCAAGGGCATATGCCTGGGTTGCGGGCTCGATCCCCAGTGTGGGGTGTGCAGGAGGCAGCCAATCGGTGATTCTCTCTCTCCTTCTCCCTTCCTTTCTGAAATCAATAAAGAAATATATATATTTTTAAAAGATATTAAATTATATGACTAACTGGTTAGAGAATCTTTGCAGTCAAATGGATCTTGCAGATCAACCATGTGGTCCCATAACCTCCATTTTTTCTGAAGCAAAGCAGAAGCCTAGAAATGCACAGAGACAAGGTACACCCAAAATCCTTTACTCACTCTCAGAAGAACCAATGCAAATAACTATGAAGTATTACATACCCTTTCCCTTATGTATTGTATGATTTATTTTATGTATTAAAAGTTTTATAATATTTAAGCAGCTATGGTAAAACATTTATGGATTTTGCAACTGCAGTATTATTATGAATTATATCCAAATGACAGAGCTGCCTGAGTCACTAAAAAGCCAGCTCACTCAAAGGCACACATGATGACATTACAGAAAAATAAAGTTACTCACTAAGTATAGAGTTTTTGTGTAAAGTTTTCACACAAAACTTGACATCTATTTTTTAAATTAATATATGATTAAAAAGAAACTAATATGGAACTGCTATGATAACTGCTACCTTTCTTCGTGGAAAGGTTTTCATTTGTAAGCTACAGGAAAGTTTAGGGCACTGAAGGATATTTCCAATCATTTTTCTCTTTACCCTCATTTAGCACAAAATCATTTCTCTTATATCAATTTAAAACAAGCAATTTATTGCTACACTAATAAATTTTAAATGGCATAAACCATACAGAAGTGTAAGCTTGGAAATCATTTATTTACATAAAACACAGTGTTCTAGTTTCAAATTTAGAGATTAAGAATAACGTAAGTACATGTAATTGCAGCAATCTGAGACAGGGAAGCAGTTCACTCTCATAAGACCCTGTAGTTATTACAAAACGTAACATTAAAAGTGTGCTCTTTTTTAGTTTATACACTTAAAGTCTAAAACCAGAAATCTATAGCATTAGTGAAAATAAATGGCCTAATTAACAAATACACATGGTCATACCTAAATCTAGATTTTTTAAATTTCTTCTTGGTTATAGAGACAGGAGGCTTTTCAGAATAATGCAAACGTAATCTTATTTCAGTCTGACACGTCAGCCATCCCGAATCCAAATTCTCAACACCATCTGGCAAGTAAATACAAAGAAAAGTAATTATTATACATATTTTTAAACAATCCAATAAGTACAACACACACTGACAATTCTAGTTCACATTCAGATTTTAATACATTCAGGTTATGTCACTGGTACTTCTCTCCAAAGCAAATATATACGCAGTCTTAAATTTATCATTGAAAAAGAACTTTTATATGAAGAGGGGGGGGAAAGTTAAATGAATGTTAACAATAGCTATAGTTTAACTTAAGTAAATAAAAATATTCTACTTAAATCCATTATCGAAACAATACACATTCATTTCAGAAAGAATCCATGTTTCAAGATGACTTCTAACCTACATTTGTTCCACTGGGAATTACTATTACACTTCCAAATACTTCACATGAGGTATTTATTCAGCTGAAACTAATTATGTGACTAGTGCTAGGGACTGAAATATAAGATGGTAAAAATAAAACTGTGAGTCAATTCTGTATTCTCACATTTATACATTCTGCCGTAAATTTCATAACTGTGATAATACTGTATTAGCACTGTTTAACTTGAAGTTTCCTACTAACATAGGTAACACATTTTTCAAAGTACTACTGAACTATCAACTGTTTTGGACCTAAGTTTTTCAATAGGACTTAAAATATATATCAAGAAACATTTATCTTTAGAAATATAACTTTAAAAATGTTTAGTAGTTAGCAAATCTATACTAATAAAAGGGTAATATGCTAATTAGACTGTGAGACCTTCTGGACGTCCCTCCAGACAAAGCCATGGTGGCGGGCCGAGTCAGAGGCGGCTGGGGCGATCAGGCCAGGAGGGGAGGGCAGTTGGGGGTGAACAGGCTGGCAGGGGGAGAGGGCAGTTGGGGGCGAGCAGGCCAGCAGACAGAGTGGTTAGGGGCGATCAAGCAGTCAGGCAGGTGAGCGGTTAGGAACAGTGGTCCCAGATTGCAAGGGGGTTGTCCGAGTGACGGTTTAGACCTGTGGGGTCCCAGATTGGAGAGGGTGCAGGCTGGGCTGAGGGACACCCCTCCCCACCCCGCCCCATGCACAAATTTTGTGCACCAGGCCACTAGTTTTAAAAATAAAAAGAAACCACAGGAGTGGTGGGGAGAGGTCAATGAGGGGAAAAGGAGACATACATAATACTTTCAACAATAAAGAATTTAATTAAAATAAGAAATATTTGGGTAGAAATAAAAAAATAAAGAAACCACCATTATTTCTTAATTTTAAACTATTTCTTCCAGGAATAGAAAAGTTGGAGAAATGACTTTGCAACCTAAAAGCTAATAGCCCACTGTACACAATAAGCATCTGTAGATGCAAGCAGCAGACCTTCCTCACACACCACGCACATCTATTAAAAAAAAGTTTTCCCTAAGTGGCAGTCCTGACCAACTTTAAAATCATTTTTTGTGAGAATTTTCAGCTGAAAATATTCAAGAACACCCAAATTGTAATACATTTATTTTTATAATATTCATTGCAAATTGACTTTTTTAAATTAAATTCAAAATATTGTGGCACATGGGGATAGTTTCCGTTTTGGATGCGTGGCTGTTAACTAGCTAAAGCTGAATTTAGAACAACAATAAAAATTTCCATGCAGTTATAACCATATATAGTAATTAACACACAACAGCTGGAAAAAAAGAGAAAACTATCCTATCTAATAATAGACAAACATAGTAATTGACCGTACCTTCGCTACACCTCCCATTGGCTAATCAGCACGATATACAAATTAACTGCCAACAGAGATGGCGGCTAATTTGCATACTGCAGGCAGGGCAGGACAGCGCAGCCGACAGTGTGAGAGCTGCGGTCCAGGCCCCCGTGTGCGACCCCAGAAGCCGCCCAGAAGCTGGTGATCGGGGGGGAGATGGGGGTTCCCTGCCCAGGCCAGATGCCTGGGCCAGAGGCATCAGGCCTGGGTGGGGGGCGGTGCCGGTGATCAGGGGGAGATGGGGGTCCCCTGCCCAGGCCTGAAGCCTGGGCCAGAGGCGTCAGGCCTGGGCGGGGGGCAGAGCAGTCAATCAGAGGGGTCTGGGGATCCCCTGCCTCAGCAAGAGGCGTCAGGCCTGGGAGGGGGCAGAGCCTGTCATTGGGGAGAGATAGGGGTCCGCTGCCCAGGCCAGAAGCCTGGGCAGGGGGCGGAGTCAGCAATTGGAGGGGTCTGGGGGTCCCCTGCCCAGGCCAGACGCCTCTGGCGGAGGCGTCAGACCTGGGCAAGGGGCCAATCCTGCGATTGGAGGGTGATGAGGGTCGACACCTCTGATTGAGGCATCAGGCCTGGGCGAGGGCAGAGCCAGTGATCGGGGGGAGATGGGGGTCCCCTGCCCAGGCCTGACACCTCTGGCAGAGGCGTCAGGCCTGGGCAAGGGGCTGATGGTGCC